GTTTAAAAAACTAAACTAGAGAAATGTGAAAGTTTCTTGGTTGGTTTGTTTTGAGATTGTTGATCAACTCAATTTTGTTGCCTTCATTTCGGTGTTATTGGTGACGCGTTATTTTATTTATCCAAACCCGATGATATTAATCGATAATAATGTATCTACCAGTTCTACCCATTCGAATTTTTAGTATGTATAATGTGTCTATATTACTTCAAATTATATTTATTTTTATTTGTACCTATAGGCTATAAGGTTGGGTACTTTTTTCCAATTTGTAATCCGAAACATTTTTCACTCGAAATATTGTTCCGGTGAGATATTTTTGTTTGGTGACATGTACACCATTATTACGCAAGGTTTACACCAAGTCGACAAAACAGCATCGTTCTATCTACTGAAAAATAGGAGACGAAAACGAAATACAAACATTTCTTGGGCGTAAAAATATTCGTGTTTTTGCCTTTTCGAGTCCGTTCAATAGTGGTAAACACCAAAAAGTTTTTGTTTTCGGCAGTATTTCATGTAGGTATATTTGTCCTAAGTATCTACTGGTATAACCGAGTATTTTGACACATCATCCTACTACCTAATTGTATATTTTACGAGTATGTGTACTCTGTTTAATGCATTATAATATATGTAATATTTCATCTCGTATATATTTAATTTTGTATTTCTGGAGTAAATGAAAAGTTTGTTTTTTCAGCTTACTGTAAACCTAAAATTGCAACAATGTACAGCGCCAGTATCAATAATATGCATTGTACGTGTTATCGTGGATATAACTACAAATTAATGTATCGTCATATCATATATCATAACATTCATAACTCATAAGTTTGGACAATTTTTATTTTTTATCCATCATAAAATATTTGATTATAGCTTTATTTTAATTATTGCGATGTAAAATTTTAGGTGGAAATACTTCTCGTAGTATTTACCACTTATACCTACATACTATGAAAAAAAAATTTCAACAGTTAACTTTGTATACATGTACTGGGTAATTTTTTTTTTTACCAAACAACACTCTTTATTTTAAAATTTATTTACGTTTTTGAAAATATTTTTTATGTAACTTCCTGCAGTTTAAATTAAACAATAATTTTTCAGTCTTTCACTTTTGTGAATGATGACGTACATTTTTAATTTTACGAGTATTCAGATTTCATATTTTTTGAAATATTTTGATACATAAAAATCGAAATTCGTATGAGTAGTTTATGAGTTGTAACTTATAAATATTTTAAGTTTAGAATAGCAGAGTGGTACTGTAGTAGTAGATTAGCATTTCTCAAGGAACCCAGTATCACTTCACTTCACTCATGTATAGGTTCTTAAATACTTGTAACTAGAGCGCGGATTTTTATGCAATCGCATTTTATTTTTATATTCACCTTATTGAAATTTTGTCAGTTATCTTTAAAAATCATAATAATTTGAATCTAATAGTGAAATTTTTTTTACATAATCCTACATATTTGTTGCATATTTTCACGATTTTAGCTGCATATTATGTCGATACATTTTAGTTAATATAAAACCGTGCTTGACTTATATAACTATTAGGTATATAAACTACTTGTCTAAATTTCGGTTTTTATGAATCAAAAATCAAAGTACTCCAAAAATATTTTGCTTAAGAATATGAAATTTAATATCTATGTTATTGTTTAAAAAAGTAAAAATTATAACGAAAAAAATATAATTTCTTTAAAAAATAAACTTTTTTAGACTGAAAATTATGTAAAAAAATAACAGATTTATTAAATAATGAGTGTTGTTTGATAAAAGAATCGCCTTGTTGTATATTAAAATTGTCTGAAGTTACCCCTTTGTTATGAATTCAGAAGTACATTCAGCAGTGTGATTCTTTTGGTACCTACCTAATTAGGTGAATTTAGAAATGTAAATGGTATTTTCGGACAATATTCAGAATGTTTTAAGAAAACGTTTTTTATAAATACTGATAACATATTTTCTTTTCAATTTATCAAGCCCAATTCAGGGAATTATTTGAATTCATATAAAGACCTCAAGAAAAAAAAACTAAGCATTTTTTAATGTGTTATAGGTAGGTACCTAATATAAATAAAATATTATGTGTCCGAAGTTAAACCACAGTCCGAACTCATGCCATATTATATTATATGTGATATGACGATACCTACTCAAAGTTCTAAATTTTGCGAAGTATATTTTGACTTAAGTGACCATCCATTTACTTTGGAATGTGTCATTCTGTGGTAGTACAGGTTCGAACTGGCTGTAAACGTTTTTCCGCAAATTGGACATGCGTGTGGCCGCTCGCCACTATGTATGCGTTTATGTGTGTTCAACGCGCTGGACGTGGAAAACGCTTTGTTGCACTGGGTGCAAGCGTGAGGACGTTCTCCTGTGAACAGACGTGTGCGACAAATCATTTAAATTTTCGATTTATTCGAACAGCTAATAATTATGAATTATTCACAGGCTAATAATAATGTAATTGTTATTGTAAGGATGAGGTTGTTTATTGTCACAGTCGTCGTTTTTGTACTAAATGGCAATTCGCAGTTGCCCAGAAATGCTTTCAAGTTTTCATTGTAAGTACCAATAATCAATATAATATGTGCCTTGGTATCTGACGGTTGATAATATATTATTTGGATCTCGTTTTACAGATTAAGAAATCAGTCACTCGCGCGGCAGAGTTGACCGTTACAACACGAACAGTTTGGTAAATAATAGGTGTGGGTATTATTATTACAATAAAAAATATTATAATTTATATTAAATCAAACAGTTTATTGCTTTACAGATTGTACCTAAGTGAAAAATATAATTTATAAATAATAATCCGGAAATCCAATAACGGTTCCCATCAAAAAAGTATAATTTTAGTTTTATAACTTACAGAGAATCTTAATAAAATAAATAAAATTATTATTAACCATTATAGTTTTATTTCGTATAAGTATTAACCAATAAATAGGTATATTTTAAGATTTGTGTCTCAGAACTCATCAAAAATGTTTATAGCTATTAATGTTAAACAACGTTTAATAATTTTCCGTAAAATACAAGGATAAAATTTAAGTGAGATCTTGTTTATAAGTTCGATATTATGTTTGTAATTAGTAAATCTAATATTTATTTTTTTATGTTATAAAAAAAAAAAAATCATACATATTTTATCATCATCTCACCTGTATGGGTTCTTACGTGCCTTTTTAAAAGCGACGGTCGGTCAAAACCCTTTGCGCAAACCTCGCAAAACAATTTGTACGGTTTTTTTGACTTGACATGACGCGACGTCTGAGCACTCCTTATCGACAAATCCAATGGTTTTAAATCGGCAGAATCATCTTAAAAAAACTCGCGATATTAAGTTAATGTTATTTAATTTTCACTTACGCGGGTAATTTAAATAGGTATATTTAATATTTATTATAGTTATACACCTACCTATAAATCTTGATCTATTATTACTTTTAAAATTATCACACATTTTTTTTTAAAGAGTCAATATGATATCATACGTGTAAATACTGTCGAAACCTTCTCGTGATCCACCGTACCTACTTTCACGAAGTATACACACATACACAAGAGTCAATAAATCACTTAGATACATACCTATCGTAAACACTTCACACGCCAATGAAAAGCTCTTTATAGAATTATGTATAATAACTTATAACTAATGGTTCTGGTCGGTGCTTAACTCTATTTTTTCCAATTTCAATAAACTATTAACTGTGTTAAACAATGAAATAGCTGGTATAATATGGGTCGTTCACAAAATCTATTCTATATATATGAGTACTTCATAAAAAAATTGGCTTGGCAATAATGCGTAAATATATTCAATACATAGTGATAATTTTAATTTAGAAATTTATAAAAGCTAATATTAATATAATAATATGAAAAAATTACAAAATTCATGTCAAACATAATTTTCTTTAACTTTTAAAAACATCTGAAAATTAGGTAATTACAAGACAACTCTTAAGAATAACAAGACATTGTCATATTTTATACTCAACTATCTTTATTTCATTTAGAAATAATTTTGTTATATACGAATATCTGAGCTATTACAAAACTTAACTCTATAATTTTATGTTAATTCAGGTTCTTATTAGATTACAACCGCAATCTCATTATTTCAAGTGACTATGTGTTGACAGAAAATTTATCGTTCCCATACCCGATGTTATTTTTAGGTATAAATAGCTTTAAAGTGCTCGCTTACTCTATATGATTGTTTTAGTTTTTAAACTTGTTAGACAGACAACGGAGATTAGAAGTTATGTGAATCACAAGTGTAATAATGTTTTCATTATTTTAATATGAAAATTGTTTTCGTTTTCATTTTAAATACGCTTAATACAAAATAATTACACGGAATGCTGTGTATAATATATGACATTATAATGATAAAAAAATGTATGATACTATCGCAATATTAACACTGGATGATCTATTAAACGCAACATTTATTATTTCAAAAACTATTAAAGTTTTTGGAAATATTTTTTTACATGATTCTAAGTCGTTAAATCAAAATTTCTCTAAAATATAGATTTTTTACTATATTTTAGCGTTATCTTATTTTTATGACTAAAATACTAAATACGCGTATGTAATGTATTTCTAATTCTTTATTTTCAAGCAGAATATTTTTCAGAGTCTTTCAATATTTTATACAAATCAAATTTTTGAAGAGAGATTTATGAAATACGTATCTATTTAAAATATCGAGTGCGAAGTTATATTTAATGCACAAGTAGATATATCTCACAAAATGTTTGTTCATTACTGCGCTCTGCTAAATTTTAAATAACTTTAGCTGAATACTCGTCCTATCTTCCTAAATTTAATTTTTATAAGCCAATACAACTACTATTGTGCTCAAAATATCAAACGAAATTGTATGTTGCCAATTATTGTCATTTAATAATGGAGAAAATGAAAAAAAAAAAATGATAACGTTGAAAAAATAGTAAAAAATATAATTTGTTTTTCTGTAATAACTTAAAATTACATAAATGAAATATTTAGTTAGCGTTTAAAATATTTACAAAAACGTTAGTTTTTCCGAAATAACAAGCGTCTCACTGCGTTAAAAATTGACCACCCCGTACACAATATCGTAACAATCGAGCTTGCGAGGCATGGTTAGGTTAAGTCATGAGTCCATCAGTATCCGTGTCTGACGCTCCATTTGAAATTTCCGTTTTTATCCGTCTTCACAAAACTGTAAACGGGTTTTCGGTCACCGAAACGTTCGTCGTCACTGCGATCGGTCGCGTCCAAACTCTCGGCCGGCGGCGGCGGTCCGTCGTCCTGGAGCTGTCGCTTGATCCTGAACGAAGTGTGCACTACGTGGTCGGCAACCGTGCCTTGCGACAGCGGCCCGTCAAACTGGCCCGTGAACGGCATTTGGAACGCGTCCACATACTGGTGATGGTGATGGTGGTTGTTGTGGTGCTGCAGCTGGTGCAAATGGTTGTTGTTGTTGTTGTTGTTGTTAAACCGGAACGCGTTTGGTTCGGCAAACGAAGGCGGTGGCCGGAGCGGCTGCTGTTGTGCAGTCTTCGGCGTGCCCCAAAACACGTTTTTGTTGGACGGCGCCGGCCGTATGACGGCGTCAAGTGGCGTGAACTTGGTGTTGGCCGCAACGGAGGCGTCGAAACCTCCCCCGCCGCCTGCACCCCCGCCGAAGAACAGAGACCCGCCACTCGGGCTCGGATACTGTTTGGTGTTCCGCACCGAACTCGCGGACTCCTGGCCGAAATCTTGCGTGGTGTACTTCGTTCCGGTTACGTATTGCGACACCGCCGCCGAGCGCCGGCTTTCAGCTGCTGCAGAGCTTTCAGCAGCCACCAGCGGCGCGAACCGCCGTCACCGCCATCAACCGGTGAGTCGCACGTTTTAAACGCACAGGCGCCGCAGCCGCCGCGCTCGTACGTTGACCGCACCGTCGTCGCCGTGCCGGTGCACACGTCGCCGTTCACACCCAGCGTAGGCATCGGCGGCGGCGGCGGCGGCGGTTTTCCTCGGCCAGGCAATCCGCCGCCGCCGCCGCCGACGCTGCTCCGGCCGGTTCTACCATTCGCGGTGCGAACGCGTCGTCTCCAACAATCAGGTGCATACGGCGTTCGCCAACCCGCCGCTGGAACGGTCCTCCATTACCGCGCCCACGCTGCAGGCCAGCGACCCCGCGGCCAATACCATCAACAGCAGCAGAACGGCGGCCGCTGGGAACAGGTTTCGACGCTAGCGAATCTCGCCCCGTTCGTCAGCGCGGAACAGCCGTCCGGCGCCGGTGGCCAGCAGCCATTGTTCCA